GAGAGAGAGAGAGAGAGAGAGAGAGAGAGAGAGAGAGAATTACATCCTATGCTGCAAATGCAAAATCTGGACACCTGGACACCACTGAAGAAATTTCTAACGAGGTGAGTCCTTCCCTGATTTCTGGGGAGATTAGATACTCTGTGAAATGCACAAGAGTACAGGTGAATCCTTGTGGAACTTTTGGTTGAGAGAGAAGAAAGCAGAGCTGGTGGCTATTGCAGTCAGCAATGAATCCACAGTAGCTGGGATCAAAAGGTCCAGTCAGAAAGATGGCAGACATCATTATCCCTCCAGCACAGAGAACTGCGCCATGAGAAATGCATTTCACATATTTCAGATTACCAAACAAACTTTTTAGAGATAAGTCTGAATAGGCGAATAATAAGGAGAAGGCTTTGGATACCTCGGCTAGGGCACACTTAGAACCTGGTGACTGTGGTGAGTGACTGAGTACAGACGAATTAGTGGCATGAAAAATGACCATGAAATAACATTCAGTGAAAAATGCATCGGGCCATCAAGCTGTATCATCTAGTATCCCAATAGTAAACAGCATGAGGACCAATGGGCGTATGTGGTAGAAAATGTCTCGGATTTATAGCTATTATAAACACTGATTTGATGATTTCATAAGCACATTTAATATTCTTCATCCACTTCCACATTTTGTAGGAAAAGTGGTATTTAAACATTGTTGGTCTTTGACATTCTGAAATATAATGGTTTTGTTTGTTTCTTTCATAGTTTTTGTTTGTTTGTTTTCTGGTGGTAAGATGTAGGAAAGAGGTGGATATTTATTTAGAAATAGATGTATACTATATACTTTTAGAATATTGTGAAGACTCTATGCACTGTGATATGTCCATCACGTTTACTCTTACAGAAGTTTTTAAATGTTGGTTTCAGAACTGTATGTATATTAAATCAATATTGTCTAAGCCTTTACAAAAGTTATGATCTTGTTCATTCAGTAATTGAGGTATACACTCCTAAATAAAACGTGAAAATTTGATTTTATAGCTATTATTAGGTAACTCTATTATTAAAACTGCTATCTATTTCTAGGAGGTAAACTATAATCATTTTATTGTTTTTTATACAAATTTTTATCTTCACTTCTAACTAAGACAATCCTAATATAGAAAATGAGCTTTCATTAGTTAATATGCAGATGATTTATTTTAAAATTTCCACCTTTAATGAATGTCTTATTAATAACATTTAACTACATATGTCAAATAAAATTTGACAAATGATGTTAATTAACAGATTATGCTAGGTCCTTTGAGTAGGTTGGTAACACATTTTTCTGGCTTCTATTATGGCCATTTTTTTATGGTATGTCTATACTGCCCTCCTTGCCTTCTCTTTATGACTTGCAACTGACAATTGAAGATAAAAGCACTGGTGAGCTTAAAATCTTGCCTCCCTCAGTGACCCTGTTGATATACTTCCTGTCTCTTCTCTTTCTGAGAAGGGTTTCACACCTGGAGCAGAGGCACACCCAGGAAACTTTGGTTTTCATTCTGCTTAGGTTTTACTCTGAGGCATACTCTGGGCTGGTAATCCTGTTCAAAAAAGTTAATAGTCATAGAATATTTAGCATTCTGGTTAGAATATCACACACATGCACACACATAACCCATAACTAAAATTACTTATAAATTTAAGCAGATATTAGAATCCATCCCCTAGAATTATAAAGGATGTACAGAAATTCCTAATCATATCTAGAAGAGGACATTTTGTTCATTGGGAGTTAGCAATTTGGAGAGTTTCCAGAAGGCAAAATCTCAGTTGATTCCTAACAGTTGTCATAGAAGGCATTCAGAGAAGGTGGGGTGAGAATGGCAATGAAAAAGACAGCGTCTATCTCACAAAGCTTGGCAAGGGAAGGGGTGTTGTGTATTCTGAAGTGTGTGGTATCAAGAATATAACTGAAAAATACGTGAAAGGTGCAGATTAACCAATACATTCCAATATATTTTAGGAAGCAAGGAATATTTTTAAAAAACTGATGAGCTATGAAATTACTTTAGCAGGGCTTAAACATGGCCTGTACAGAGAAAATTGGCACTATGGGCTGAGAAAACAAACTAAGAAAATCAAGCATAAAGGTGGAAAACCAGATAGCTATTGAAATAATTTCACCCAGTAAATGTTGTCATCAGAGAGTACTGTGGGCACAAAGACCTAAAGAACAAGGTCTAACCTCAGGAGAAACAGGATGCCAATGGAAGCTGTTTAATGAAGTGCCAAGTGCATCAGGACCAATGCCCCAGGAAAGGTCACCCCATTGAAGTCAACACTCATTCCTGTACATGGAGAGAAGGTGCAGCCTGTTTACAAACAGGCCACTTAAGCAAGCCAGGAACATGTTCCAGCCCAATAAAGAATGGAAAACGGTCCAACATCAGATATACATAATGGAAAAAGAATCCAGGATTTCAACCTCATAGCCCATACTCTAAATGCTGTAACAACCACTGACTTCCATGTTTTCTTCTATCACAATCATCACTGACCTAAGACAGCTATTATCATCAATGGGGAAGAATTTCTTAGACTTACTTATTAACTGGGCAGTTTTCTGGTCATTTTTCACAGTGCCATAATTAGTAATCAATTCTCCTTTTCTCACACCCACAGCTATGGACAACACTGTGGCATGGTTGTTCACTCACCTAGACACACCCTGTTTTTGAAATTATCTATTTATATGTGTAATTCTGTATACTGTTTTTCTCTTGTAGGCTTACCCATAATTTGAGAGATGGTGAACGAATACAAGAAAATTGTTCTTCTTTCAGGATTACAGTCTATCAGTGACTACCATTTCAGAGTACTTAAGTCTTTACTGACCCCTGACCTACAACTGAATAAGAAAATGCAAGATGATTATGATAGAATTAAGATTGCTGACTTAATGGAAGAAAAGTTCCAAAGTGATGCTGGATTGAGCATACTGATAGAACTGTTCCAAAATATTCCAGAACTTGGAGACCTTGTTCATACACTTAGAAAGCAGATGGAAAAAGGTAATACGGGAGCAGCCTGGATGTCCACTCTTTATCTACCCTCCCCAACCTTGCTATCTCCTTGCAGTGTTTATGGCTGGTATGCCTCTTCCCCAGTGTATGCATTGGGACCTATAGAATGGCAGCATTTCAGATCTTAACAAGTTGTTGGAAACTTAGGCAACTCCTTTCCTACAAAGAATTCTAGTGTATTTGGTGGTAGATGTCTTTGGGGTGGGTGAAGAAAGAAAAACAACAAAACAGAAGTTGCTCAGAGAAACAAGAGCTTCTAATAAAGTGGAATGGATAGAAAATTATAAAGCAAAATTTTAATACACAATTAAAAATACTTAGGTCAATTAACACAATTCTAAGTTAAGGTATACCATCATTAATATATTTTATAGCAACAAGTGTGAGTCATTATTTAAGTAGAATCCAGAATCTAAGAGATGTGAAGAAGTTCCCCTTTATAACATTACTGGGTTCAAAATACATGAAAGAGAGAGAGAGAGAGAGAGAGAGAGAGAGAGAGAGAGAGAGAGTGGGCATGTTGTCCCACACTGTGATCTTAGCATTTGGTTGGAACAGAGACATCTCCAGTTTAAGACTAGCCTGGGGTTTATGCTGAGCTCTTACATCAGAAAATAAAAGGGACCCAAAAGACAAGCAATCAAAGTTCACTATTAATCCATTGTCATATCTCAGATTAGGTCACAATTTCTTCCTCTGTTTCTCTAATTTGGGGTGACCTGCAGAAGATAATTTGGCATATCATCATGCAAATTTTAGATTTCTTTTTTCAAAATACATTTATTTATTTGTGTATGTATTTATCTTACATCCCAGCCACAGTTTCTCCTCCCAGTCCCTTCCCTACCCAATTCCCCCTCTGTTCCCACCCCACAATGGCAGGTCTCCCATGAGTATCAGCAAAACATGACCTATCAAGTAGCGGTAAGACTAAGCACCTACCCATGTATTAAGGCTGGACAAGAAGACTCAGTATGAAGAATAGAGTTCCAAACGCCTGTAAAAGGGCCAGAGACAGTCCCTGTTTCCACTGTTAGAAATCCCACAAGAGTACCAAGCTACACAACTGTAACTTATATGCAGAGTGCCTAGGTCAGTCCCATGAGGGCTCCTTGGTTGTTGGTTCAGTCTCTGTGAGCCCCTATGAGCCCAGGTTAGTTGCTTCTGTGGGTTTTCTTGGGGTGTCCTTGACCCCTCTGGTTCCTGCAGTCCTTTCTTCTTCGGGATTCCCAGAGCTCAGCCTAATGTTTGGTTGTGGGTCTGCATCTGTTTCCATCAGTTACTGGATGAAGCCTCTCTGATGACTGGGTTAGGCAACAATCTAGTCACAGGAGATGTTCAGGCTGCATATCTGCTATTGCTAGGAGTCTTAGCTCGGGACATCCTTGTAGATTCCCTTGCTCCAGCTTTTTACCTGATCCCAAAATACTCCCCCTTTCCAGAAGTTTCTTTTAGTTCTCTTCCCCTCTACCCCCCCCCCCCGGCTGCAATTAGATCACTCATGTTCCAATCTCCACCTGCTCTCATTCTATCCCCAAGTCTCTTCTATTTCCCCTTCCCAGGGAGACTTGGGTGTCCGCCCATGAAAGTATACTGAGATATAAGCAAGAGGCAAAATAGCACTGGATGGACTCCAGCTGTCTTACTACAGTACAACCTCATTCAGTTTATCATCTTTTCTTTATTTCATCAGTGAAAAATAAAAACCAAAGAAAAGTCAAACATGTTTCAAAAAGACCCAAGCATGATGAATCCTGTACTTCTCACCTTAGCTCCAACACAAAGGAAGCTTTGAAATTAGAACCAACTATGAAGACGCCTTCATTAGAGGTATGTTGTCTAAGATCTCACTAAGCTGGCTCTCCTCAGTACCTTTCTCTGAGTACTTAATCTAAGCTTCTTTATCTGTGCAAAGGCTTAGCAAAATGAAGAATCAACAAATTCATGATTACTGGTCACTCATTTTGTTAGGAGTACAAGACTATTTTATTACAATATAATTTCCTGAATCAAAAATATAAAATCATTACTTACTTTGTGAATGTGGTGTGTGTGTGTGTGTGTGTGTGTGTGTGTGGTTTACATACATGTGTGCGTGGTTTATATACATGAGTGTGTATGCATTTGTTGATAGCAAAGGAGGACTTCAAGTGTTTTGTGTGTGTGTGCATGTGTGGTTTACATATTTGTATGGCTGTGTGGTTTGCATACATGTGTGTATGCATTTGTTGATAGCAAAGGAGGACTTCAAGTACTCTGCTTAACTCCCCCCTCCTTTTTCCTTTGAGACAGAGTCTCTCCCTGAACCTGGGGCTATGCTGGTAGACAGCAAGTCTCAGAGATCATCCTACTCTGGGCTTTCAGGCAAACATATGAAAAGCTCAGATTTTTCTATGGTTTCTGGGATGCAATCTTAGGTCCTCATCTATGCGTAGCAATTACTCTTGTCCCCTGAGTCATCTCTTCAGACCCTCCTTACTACCTTTAAAAATATTTTCAGAAGTAGCAGTCAGTTTAAATGATATGACATCCCAAAGCCTGTTAAAGGGCATCAAACATCAACTTGTACTTTCTAAATCTAAGCCTAGACTTCTCCCATCATCAAATGTGATTAAAGGACTGACATAAATGAAATGTTTCTATTCCTGTAGGAGATGATCCTATGCTCTTCTCTGGCCATTTGTTCAGAGTATTCAGTTCCAAATGAATCAACAGAATCAGAACCCAATAACACAGAGTTTATTATCTTTGTATTAAAATCATTGTTCTTCAAACAATGTTAAAAGACCGTAGTATGGGGTGGGGATAAAACTCCATAGTGGAACCCAGCTTTGCTCACATGAGACCCCAAGTTCAATCTTAACACACAAAAAAGAAAAATCAGTCCTTACCTGTAGAAAACACATGCATTTTTTTCTTTGAGAAAAGGGAGATAAAACTACAGAAACTGAAGTCTCCACAACTCCACCATATAATAAAGTCAGTCATTACATTATCAAATGTTTCTATTAACCCTTCCTCTCCTGTCCTGTATATGTTGTTATGAAATAATTTATGATCTCAACAAACTATAGTAGCTTCATTTATTCAGCGTTATCACATAGTACTGATAGATTATTTGAAACATGTTCTCTTTACATATATTTAAATGAGTTTTGATTGGGTTTCCTGTGTATTAGGCAAACATTCTACCAGTTGAGCCACAACATGATTAAAAATTATTAAATCTATGCTCCATTCTTCCAAGATACCCCGTACGTCTTCACAATGGTAAAAATCTAACTTACTTATTTAATGTAAATATTCATCCCTCTAGTGTACATTGTGAAACCCTGACAGCTGTTTACAAATGTTTATTTATTTTATTGCATTCTACCACTACACCAGGAATCTCTTTACAATCAATGTTTTGTCATTTTAATTTTTAGGGTTGGGTTACTTGGAATGTTAAATAAATGTGCACATTTAATTTTCTGTCAGCATCAATGATGATAGTAATATAATTAAAATATATATAACCCTGGAGAAAAGGCCATTAATAATCATTTTTGCTTGGATGATATCAGCTTGAATGACATCATCTATCTTTTTTCTTTTTGGAGCAAACACTTCTTAATGAATACATTTTACAAATACACCAGAGAATCATGCAATGTTGCCTTCATTGGATGTGATTCTGGGTGAAAAGCCTGCACACTCCTTTACAACTAGAATTGCAGAACCTTTCATTTTCTCTTTATTGTTTATTATGACTCAGACATTATCTTCAAAATGAAGAAAGCCCCCATCTTTCTTTGCTATGGCTTTCATTGTTGAAATACCAACAATGAATCTTTTTCTTTCTTCTGGCTGCAGAAGACTTACATTCTAAGGGATCAGAAACACAAAGAAAACAGGAATAATTGACATGTAGTCATATGAAAGTTTTTACACACTTTCAATGTTTTACGTTTTACCTTTGAAGCTAAATTATGATCTTTTAAGGCTTATGCCTCATATAAGTTTTAGGTAAGTGTATTAAAGGCACTAAACTATGTATGGCTTTATATACAAATGTTTCAAATATATGTGTATATATTCATATATACAGTAGTTTCATTTAACCAAATATAAAATGAGTATTTAAAAGATCTTAACCTAAGCAGATATTTAAACGAGCTCTACCTAGTGCATACTAGGAAAACACTATATCAGCTGAGCTACACCTCATCTCCCAAAATCTTACCTCTGTGGTCCATTATTTCAGGGTACTTGTTGCACATTTAAAATCATATCACCTGAAAGGGTACTGGCAGGGATTCCTGTGTACCAACAAAGCAGACAATCTGGAGTGATTTCATTACAAAGCTGAGGGAAGAAAAATTCATAAGTGAAGTCAATCTTGTCCATACAACAACCCTGAGTCAAATCGGACCAGGGTACCTTTGACCTGTTTTATAAGACATGCAGAGTTGAGATTCTAAGCTAAACCGGTGATTTAGTGGCCAAATTTCTAAGAGACATTCTGATTAGCACGGGAAGAGGCTAGATGCTGGGGGTCTCTAAGATATGTTATCTATAATACTCCCACAGCCCCTGGAGGGGGAGAAGGCTAACAAAACAGAAGTATTTTTAAATGGGGAAAATGTATTTGAAGATGTATTTGATCTGATTTTTAAAAACCATTTATCGGGACACAAAGAATTTTAAACATCTATTTCCCTTCAGAAACATAGAGACACAATCACCAAATCACCTGACATCGTAACAGCACAGTCACTCCAGGGAAAGCATAAACTTCCAGAGCTTTCAGCAACCAACAGATGCCAGGCTGTGAGAGAGCCACAGACTCCTCGGGGGCTTCCAACAACAGCCTCCAGCAGCCTGCAAACTCCCCCAGAGCCTTCAACATCTCGGGGTCCTTCAGCACCATTTTCTACCAGTGGCCAGACTTCTCAGGTGTCTCCAGTGACTGCCTCCAGCAGTATCCACACTGCTCAGGTAACTTCAACACGTTCATATAGTCACCAAGATCCTCTGAAATCTCCAAAAACAGCGTCCAGCAGTGTCCCAGCCCTTCAAGCAAGCCCAGCGACAGTGACCAGCAATGCCCACACCCTTTCGACACCTCAAGCAGCAGGGTACAGAAGTTTCCAGGCTTCCCGGATGACTCCAGCAACAATGACCAGTGGTTATAAGAGTCCCTGGGTGTCTGCACCAACAGTGTCTGGCAGTTACAATACCCCTCAGGACACCCCAGCAACAATGCCTAGCAGTTTTAAGTCTCCTCTACAGTCTGCAGCGACACAGCCCAGCAGCAGTAGTACTCCTCAGTGGTGTTCAGCGAAAGTACCGGGCAGTTCCTCTGCTACTTTGCTGTTTTCAGCAATACCACTCAAGGTAATGATAGGCTGTCCTCATAAATAAAATGGCAATGGGAATGAAAACAGAGAATTTCCCTTGAGCCCCCTATGATATATGATGTTTTATTTTAATGAGACACTTGTCTGTTTTATCATATGATTTGAGGTCCTTCCCTAAATTCATTTTGTACTGCTCTTATGCTTGGCTCCTTTAAGAAAACGTATGAATCAGTGAGCACCTGAGCATCCCTGTTCCTTAAAGGGTACAATTACTTTTTTTTTTTTTTACTTCTTGTTGTTTTGGCTTTCATCCACATTTTTTCACTTGGTGGACCATAAATGTGATATTTTAGTGGAAAACATGATGTAGAATATAAAGGTAAGCAGAATATATCGCCAATGATTTCTTTTTCATCTTTTAATTATACCAATATCATTTTAGAAAACTTAGGAAAGTAGATAATACACAAAAATAAGTAAGTTTTAAACTATCTGGAATCTCTTTAGAAAATGCCACATTTCACTATCCAGTCTTGTTTATCTTTTGCTATATATAAGAAGAGTGTCCTTTACCAGATTTGCACTACAATGCACATATCTTTCTATAGCGTACGATTTTAATTTTTTATTTAAGCAGGCTTGAGAGATGGCTTAGTGGATAAAAGCACTTGCCACATAAGCCTGACAGCCTGAACTTGAATCACCAGGGCCTTTGTAAGATCTGGACACAGTAACATCTGTTTGTATAAAGCCCTTGTGTTCCAAAGCAGAGACTGAAGGCAGTGACAGGAGAATCTACAGAAACTCATAGGCCGGCTTGTTAGGTACTCCCAGCAGTGAGCTAGAGAGACCCTGTCTCAGACAAAGTAGATGGTAAGAACCAGCATCTAATGTTGTCCTGTGGTCACACACACACATACACACACACACACACACACACACACACACACACACACACACACACACTTCTACCCCAACACACACAGTCACAAAATATTTTTTAAAATAGTTAACATATCTTGAACTGCCATTCAACCATTACAGATTTAGATGATTTTATCATCTGAAACATTGCAAAGTTCATACATTATAAAGATAAAGCTATGTGGTTTGACATTAGGCTCTTTCCAGTACTTTTTTATTCCTGCAAACACTGAAAACACCTGAGAACCTTTTTTTCATTTCTAAAGAAGTATACAGCATCTTCTCCTTAAGTCCCATGCGCCTCTGTCCAGTGTTCTTTACACCATCCTGAGGTACTGCTTAAGTCACATTGGGAGTGAACTTCTTAAGGTTAGAAACCATTGGAGCACATTGTTGAGTACGGACTTCTGAATCAGATCAGCAAGTGCTGTGGGTTCATAGCTATCCCCCTACAGTGGTCTCTAGGTTTCCTGTCATTGCCACCATACTTCTCCATTTCAAAGTATGCTGTTGAAATCAGAAATAATAAGAAGTATCTAGATATGGTGGCATACACCTATAATTCCAGAAAAGAATGGTGGACCTCTGTGAGTTCAAGGCCACACACCCTGATCTACACAGCAACTACAGAGACAGCCAATAATAAATATGGAGACCTTGTCTCAAAGAAGCAAAGAAAGGGAGAAAAGGAAGGAAAGATAGAGGGAAGAAGGAAGAGAGAGTGGGGGAGGAGGGGGGGGAGGAAAGAGAGAGAGAGAGAGAGAGAGAGAGAGAGAGAGAGAGAGAGAGAGAGAGAGAGAGAAAAGTATTTTGCAGGGTGCCAAGTACTGGGGAGACAGACAGGTTGGACAGGTTGTCAAATAACTGTTCTTCCTTCCTTTTCCAGGTCCAGGGTTCTCCTCCAGGGCTGCTCTTATGCAAGTGGAAGAGCTTCTAGTCTCAATTATTCAGATTATCAGAGTCCTGGGGTGCTTACACTGTCTGTCTGTCTACCTAAGCCTATTTTACAAGACGGTACTGGTGTGTGTGTGTGTGTGTGTGTGTGTGTGTGTGTGTGTGTATGAAAAGATTTGTAACTTAAGTTTTTAAAACGTGCTGTTAGATTCACGATGTAGCTCACAGGAAAAGAATCTGTCTGGCATTCAGGAGGCCTTGAGTGCATTCCCAAACACCATAAAATATTAATACAACCTATTTACCTACAGTGAGTAATTAGTACATGCTGGAGTTACTGCCCAGATCCCCATTTATTTCCTATCACTTATGTCAAATCACATCAGGAATTGGTTAGATTTTTTCCACTCTATCTAATAAAAATATTCCTTAGTGTCTATCTTAACTGTGCCTGGTTTTCCTGTGTACATTCCATGCAGAAACCAAGACTGAAAACTATACCAAAGCGACCTTCTGAGGAAGATGGACACCAGGAAGGTCCCAAACAAGTGATGGTATTAAAAGCAACAGAACCATTTACATACGACATGAGAGAAGACAAAACTATGTTCCATGCCACAGTGGCCACGGAGACTGAATTCTTCAGAGTGAAGGTTTTTGACAAAGTCCTAAAGGAAAAGTTCATCATCAACAATGTCATTGTCATCTCAGATTATATTGGCCGCAATGGTTTTCTAGAAATACACAGCGCCTCCAGTGTATCAGAGGTGAATGGCAAAACTGTGATGAATATCCCACCTTCACTGAGACAGAGAGCCAACGCAACTCCTAAAATTAATACCATTTGTACACAAAGAGTAGGAACATTTGTGAATGGAGTATTCGCAGTATATAGGGTAAGACTTTGCCTTATTTTGTAAACTTTCATTTGCAACCTGAGATTTTACATCTTAACTTGGCAGTTTGGTCTATTTTCTGTACACAAGAAACCAAGGCCTCCCTGGTCAGGAAGAGGAAAGTGGAGCTTACCACTTTAAGGTGTGGGATAGTCTCTTCACATTGTTCTCATGGTATCGCCACGAAAATGTTTTACAAAGAGACTCCACACAAAACCCAGCATTTTACTATGATGATCCATTTATAGTATTTCGTATCAATACAGAGCTTTAAGATCTTGTTTGTTTGCATCCTTACCTACACATATCAGTAGTAACTTAATTAATAGGTGAAGCCCTTGCCGGGATAATTGTTGTGACAAATAGAATAAGAAAGCAAGTTGCTATGGTGGGTGCCTTGCTCAGCCTCAATGCAGGGGGGAGGGGCTTGGTCGTACCTCAACTGAATGTGCCAGGCTTTGTTGACTCCCCATGGATACCTTATCCTTTCTGAGGAGTGGGTGGGAAGTGGTTTGGGAAAGGTTGGGAGGAGCATAAGTAGGGGAGGGGGAACTGTAGTTGGTATGTAAAATGAATTTGTGTGTGTGTGTGTGTGTGTGTGTGTGTGTATGTGTGTAGCAAGTTGCTAACATCCTGGTCACTTCATCTTTAAACTGTTCTCAATTCCATTCAACTTACTTATAGCTTTATGAATTCTTAGAGAATTTTATACAAAGTATCTTGATCACATTCCCCCTGATGCTTCTCTAAGCTCCTTCTAATACCATTTTCCCCACTCTGCTTCACATCCTCTTCTCATTTCATTTTTTAGAAGAACCTATCTTGAATCAAGTATCCTGACTCTTTGGTTCTTACATTCTTCCTGTCCCCTCTTCTGTGATAATTCCTGAGCCTAGAGTGCATAGATTATGTTAAAAACATATTAATTGGAGGAGGACACCCCATGGTCATTTGATCTCTGCATTTTGACAGTTGTGGCCTTCTGTAATGGTCTTTATCTGCTGCACAAAGAAGCTTCTTTGTTGGGAGGGGAACTCTGGGAGGGTCACCTGCCTGTACCTGTAAGTGTTGTAATTTTAAAAGTGGCATGAGAAAGATGCCATGAGACAGGGTTCATGTGGAGGGGATTTTATTAGAGAAAGGGATCATAAAAAATGGGTAAGGGAGGGGGAAGACTGGCCTCCAGAGACAGGATCAAGGGAGGAGAAAGGGGGGAGAAGAAAAGAGGGGGGGAGGGGAAGAAAGAAAGAGAGAGAGAGAGAGAGAGAGAGAGAGAGAGATGAAGATGGGAGGTAGTCAGGTCCCTTTTCAAAGGGAACATAGTGAATGTGCACAGGTGGTGCTCTTAGTGGCTGCAGCTGAGGGTGTATCCTGTCAGAACCCCAAGGACAGACCTGAATACTAACAATAAGTATTTAGAATGTAGTTAGAAATTACACTGGTTCAGGAAAGTGGAGGGGGCTCTTCCTCTAGATTCCATGTCCCAATGATTTATGGTGCTGCATTCATATTCCTTCCTAATGAGTGGACCTTATATCCAATAAAGTAACAGTTGGTTACTTCCAGGATGTAAGTGCCACTATTTCACCTTTCAGAACATCTTACCATGCTGATCATCATTGTGGTTCATTGTCATTATACCTGGGATAGGGCTATTCATTGCTCTTTGGCTTCTTCTGAAACTATAAGAATAAGTCATCAGTGAGGAGGCTTCTGGATAATATAGTTAGTTCCTCCAAATTCTGTGTCTCAGCTATGTGATACCTTCAGCAAGAGGGTCTTACATTATTTGCCTGGCAGGAGCCTATATTGTTATGGGGTCTGTTGCATTGCCCTGATTAACAAGCTGAAAGGAAATTTCCCATGCCTGGCACTGTAGTTTTTGTTAGAAGGTCTAGGAGGTTTTTGTTTGTTTGTTTTTGGGTGGGAAGGTTGTCATACCAATTGCCATAACCTCAATCAAACTATATGTAAGTGTGCATATGTGTGTGTTTGTGTGATGTTATATGTAATTTAAGTTAAAACAACATAATATATCCCCCTATGGCTTTTCCATACATCAATGTTAATTGTGTCTCCTCCTTCCATCCCCCTCTGTGTTGTCATTTCTTCTCCCTTCCCAGGTGAGTGTCCCACAGTCATTTTCCCCCATTTCTCCCTTCATAGATACCATGCCCTACTATTCTCATCCTTAATATTTCTGTTATGGTCCACTTTTACTTTTCTGGGATCTGCATTTACTCTAGGTTATTTACTTGCACCAAAAAATTTGGAGCTAGCATCCACAAATAAGAGAAAACATATACATTTGTGCAGAGGGCACAAGGTCCTTTTGCTTACAGATAATCACTAGGGAAACCAGGAAGTTTAAACACTCAGGGTTGTCTCTTCAAAAGAAGAGGTGTTTAACCTGTTTTCTGCCCAGAAGTCTGGAAGTAGGTATGGTTAATAGCCTGGTGACCTCTGTGCTGTTCGTAGGACCAGGCCACGCCTGGCACCCACAAACTCTTACATTTATCTCAGTCATTCTCCCTAGACCCTTTTCTTGAGCACTGTTTCTCAGTCAATAGAACCCGTCTTTATGGAAGGGGTCATATGTACTTTGTAAAAAGTTTCAATGTAAACATGTCTTAAGTGTTTTTGTATACACAGGATTGAGTTAATGGTCATCAGAAATTTTTTTCCAGAATTGTACAATGCTTAAATACACTTGAAATAAACTGCCAAGTGTCAGATTTTAGAAGTTTGAAACAACACCTGCTACTGAGCAGGGTTGAACCTGATTTTCTTCCTGTCGCATATGGATCAACACTGCTAGCCCTGGTGTCTGGAGAGACACTCCACATATTTGTCTTCCTGCATCTGTGTTGCATGACTCACATTTTCTAGTTCCATGCATTTGCCTGCAATTTTCATTTTTTACAGCTAAATAGTATTCCAATTTAGATATGCATCACATTTCCATTATCCATTTCTCAGCTGAAAGACATTTAGATTGTCATCATCTCCTAGCGATTGTAAATAAATCATCATTGAACATGTCTGAACAGGTATTTATGGAGTAGGGTATCAATTCCTTTGGACATATGCCAAGCAATGGTATAATTGGTTATATGAAAGATGCATTTTAGCTTTGAGGGAAATCTCCACACTGATTTCCAGAGTGCTTGTACTAGTTTGCAATCTAGCCAACAGTGAATAGGGATTCCCCTTTCCCCACAGTCATCATATCAGAATCATCTGGCCAGTGTTTTCTTGATTTTAGCCATTCTGACTGGACTTAGATTCATCAAGTGATTGTTAAGCAAGTGGCCTCTATGTTATTTTTTTTTTTTTTTTTTTTTTGGTTTTTCGAGTCAGAGTTTCTCTGTGTAGCTTTGGAGCCTATCCTGGCATTCACTCTGGAGATAGACTGGCCTCGAACTTACAGAGATCCACCTGCCTCTGCCTCCTGAGTACTGGGATTAAAGGCGTGAGCCGCCAACGCCCGGCTATATTAATTCTTAAGGAAACAAATATAACAGTTTCTCTCTCAAGCTGTGACAGGGCACAGTGAAATAGAGGAGACTGAGGATTTCTTGAACTTAAGTTGTGGTGTCTTTCAGTGCCAATTTCCCAGTAAATAGCACACCTAGATGACCTAATACTTGTTCAAAGTATGGTGTCATATTATGTTGTACATATTCAGCAATGGCATCTGGCTTTTATCCCTGGTGTTCTCTGCAGTTTGTCTAAGTGACTGTGCAAGTACATCTGGCTATAGCCGTAACAAAGAAAACAAAACACAAGTAAGGAAAGCAGAACTAGATGGTGCAGATTTAATATTTGAAATACTTGGAACAGAGAATACATGTGTGCACTGAGAAAGTATCATCCATTTCATTGCGACTTATATAGTCTCAGACTCACAAGGAGCCAAAAGCCACCCTTCTTAGTTCTTGAAGTAATATCGAAGACACCCACAATGGCAATCAGTTTTATTCTTATTTTTCCCTACTTGGGCTCCTTACCTCTCATCTCTACAATATGGTAGAAGGAAAGTTTTTCTCTAATAACCCATCAGATAAAGACCTTAAATAAAAGCTTGGGAGACATTTTCTGGTTTGTGAATGAGAACCCCTGAAGTTGTCTTATACCCATAATTCTAAATTGGGCCTGTATTTGTCTTATCAGGGACAAGCTAACAGTATTTATGTCTCATAGATGTAACAATACTTTACACATTTCTCAGACGATGAATGTTAATCATTTCTTTTGCAGAAAACAGTGAAGAATGAATTCATTTACTATGGAATAGAAGATAAAACAGGGAAGATGGAAGTAGTGGTACACGGACAATTTACCAATATGTACTGTGAGCCAGGGGATAAACTTAGACTCTTCTGCTTTGAATTGAGCACAAGTATGGATAAGTGGCAGCTGAGATCCGGGAGACACAGTTACTTGCAGGTGTGTGGCCTAAGGAATTGTCATTCTTCCTAGTAAACCCTTTTAATACTCTGCTAAGACTTGGTTGCAACAGAAAGTAGATTCAGTTTTAGACATTAATATATGTAAACATTTTCTTACCATCATTTTCAAAATGGGGTTATTTTGCTTTGCTTTGCTTCTTCTTGCTTTTGTTTTCTTAAAAATATTTTTTCATAGAATATGTTCTTAACGCAGTTTCTCCTTCCTTATCTCCTCCCAGATCCTTCCCCACCTTCCCATCCATCCAACTCCATCCCTCTTTTCTCTCTTTATCTTTAGGAAACAAACGTGTAAAACAAACTAACCAGAATAAACAAAAAGGAAAAGCAGGAGCAACACACACACACACACACACACACACACACACACACACACACACACTAGAAACAAGAGATCAGAAACCATAATATACAAGGAAAATACCATTAGCAAAAAAATGTTCAAAGCATTATTAGCAAGAACAGCAACAACATTTCCCAAACTACCATTGAATCCATTTTGAGTTAGCCATCAACTTTTAAGTATGGTTTGTATACCCAGTGAGATTCCATTAGAGGAAACTAATTTTTCCTTTGCAAGCATCTCTCCATTAGAAATAGTTTTTTTGGTTAAGGATGGGAACTTGGATCCACTTTCCTCTCACAGCGTTGGGGCCCCTCCTGAGTCGGACTTGTGAGTGCCCTGTGCATTCTGCCACAGTCTGTGTGAGCTCGAATGTGGATCCTGCTATGTTTAGAAGGCCTTGTTTCCTTGTTGTCTTTCATAACTCTGCTCTTACAGTCTTTCTGCCTCCTCTTCCACATAGTCTCCTGAGCTCCAGGGGAAGTGGAGGAGTGGGGCACTGATGAAAGCATCCCATTTAGCACAGAATGTTCCAAAGTCTCTCATTACCTGCATATTGTCTGGATTTGGGTCTCTGAATTAGTTTCCACTTACTGCAGGAGGAAGCTTCTCTAGTGATGGCTGAGTGAGACACTGATCTAATAGGTATAGTAGAACGGCACTAAGAGTCATTTTATTGCTATGTAATTTTAGCAGACCTATACTTGATTTTCCCCTCAAATACAACTTGGAAATAATGTTCATCATAAAGGATCATGAACAGAACTCACAACAAAACCATATGTTTCACAAGGATGCCTTAAGCAAATTAGAGCACAAAGAACCAAAGTCCAGGCTCTTGTCACATGATGGGATTCACTAAACACTGCCAAAGACTAGCAATAATGCATAGGTGAAATATAAGGGCTGACCTGTTGAGTCACAGGGAAATGCTTTCAGATCTCCCTTATTCTCAAGACTATAAGTCAAACATTCCAAATTCCCCTCAAACCCCTGCAGCTGCTTAAGGCATGCCTTCTGTACCACCCTATTAACCATCTGTGCAACAGTATCTTCCACTTGGGTACTGCTGTTTCTCCATCCCTACCATTGCTCCGCCATATCTCCTGCTCTTCTGTCTGTGCTGACGCCTGGTAGGGTGTGACTAGCTCACTTTATGCTCTCAAGCACTGGGAGCAACACTGATTACTAGGCTCAAGATTCAGTAAAGGAGCTAGGTAAGGAAAGAGAAGTGGCTCACAGAGACAGTGTGGGGACAGTGTGTGTAAACAGGTGTGTGGCAAGTTGCTTCTCAGCTGATCTGACTTCATTCTTTTCTTCTTCCAGGTCATCCAGGCTAGGATGAGAGACCTGGAACCACCCAATCCTTACTCACTTATGGAAAATCCCTACACTCCAATTTAAGGACAACTGAACAACATTGGCAATGATGTTTATGGTAATAAGATTCAGCTACAGAAAAAAATATATGCAGCACATAGTGAAAAATATGTATAAAATATGGCTCTTAATTCTAGAGAATAGTACTCTTTGACTTTGTTCTTTATACATTTTAGGTTCTCTGCATTTCATATTCTCCACATGCATGTTTCAAAGCTTGAGAAAAGAATAATAAACATTTTATCTAAAGCAGTTCTTCCCCAGGAGTCTCTTTCATCTGTTTATAAGTTATGAAGTATATAGCCTGTGCTGTGCAGATCAGAGTGAAACACACCGACCGGGCTTGAGAAATATGTCAACTTGTACTTTGGGTGAGATAGCCAAGGACAGAGGCCTCTTCTTGAAGGGTCAGGCTGTGTTCTATGCAGAGAAACCAAGTTAAAAGTAGGGTCTGGAGTGCAGTCTGTACTGTAGTTACCAAGGCTTATGCTCCAAGGAGGAGTTTCACTGGCTAAGGAAGAAATACTGATTATTTTACCAAATGAGGATTCTCTGGTGGTTTCATGAAGGCACTAGTATGCTAGAACTGTCAGCCCTGTGAAGCAGACTATCTGAGTCTACTCCTTTACTCATATCCCAGGGTTCGTCAGTAGCTCTCCCATCTAAGTTCCTGCTTTACACTTGCATGTAAAGTACAAGTTGACAAGTAGAGCTATTGGGAGTTATTCCAAGCAAAGACTTATATCAGGCAGATATTGAAGGCAACTAACTTACTTTTGGGTAGAAAGGCAGAGAACTGGGATGTGTGTATTAGTGGTAAAAGTGTGAATACCCTGGGGGCAGAAAGAGAAAGTTCACTACTCTAAGTTCCAAGGCTATTCATTTCCAACTGACATATGGGAAAGAATCACTGAAGTTCTACCATTATGTACTGTGTCCAAAGATCCAAGAATCACAAGGTCCTGCTTCACTTTCAATTTTTCACTCTCTGATTATGTGTCATATCCTACATTTAGATGACAGTTAGATATTATATATCCTTGCATAATATTATGCTAATAGCATATACATGTGTATGCATTTATATTTACACACAGACATTAGTTATTTACATATGTACATTAGTATAGTTATATGAGTGCCTAGTATATGTATGTTTATATATTTACTTATTTATAAAAATCAGTTTAGTCATCATAACCCTTGATCACAGAATATCATTTTCTATGCTACCATAAATGATCCAATGAAGTGGTCAAAATTATAAGATTACTCTGCTGGCTAGGAACCAATTTCAGGATACATAAAGAAGGCCAGCACACTCTAATCAAGGAAGCAATTAGTCAGCAAGATACTACTAAACATCTATGTGCCAAATTCTGGCTCACCCAAATTTACAAAAAGCATGCTACTGGACTTCAAGACACAAATTAACCCCACCTCAGTAAGAGCAGATGGATTCACCACACCACTTTGACCAATAGACAGGGCACTGGGACAAAAAAAGTAGAGAAACTTCAGAATTAAATGGCATTATGCATCAAGTAGATCTAACAGATATTTGCAGAATATTGCACCTGAACTGAACATAATTTCTACTCAGCAGCCCAGGGAAGCTTGTCTAAAAAATGACCACATAAATGGGTACAAAACAGATCCTAACACCTATAGCTTATGTAAACTGCATTTTAGAGTCATAGAGAAGAAATTTTGCCTAAATACAAGCCATGGGGAATCCAGTCGAATATTTTAAAGCTCCAGATTTTTACAACTGAGCCAATTTTTGTTTTTTAGTTAATTTTGTGAGTTATGAATTGGGTCCATTATTTTTAACATGGATATCTAATTGTTTTAGTAGTATTTACAGAAAAAATACCCTTTCTATATTTTCATTTGTGTTTATACTTTTATGGAAAAAAACAGTATATTGTAGACAAGTGAGGGCTGTTGCCTTCCTGTATTCTATTGGCTTATTCTGACCTTAAAATCACAATGTCATTGTATTATTTACATATCTCTAAAATATTTTAATTATTTCACTAGGACACACAATATCTACCTTTAATTACACAAAATATATTTCAAAAATATTACACTGCTTTATATGCTGTGTTAAGACCTTGCAACCAGTATTACACTCTTAACTTTTCCCTCTCATATTTTGTATTTGTTCCTATATACTTCACTTTCAAATATTTTATAAACATTCATAGTATCTTTGCTTAAGATCAGGAATTGGCAAAGTTGGTCTCTTGCCTGTTTTTATATAGATTAGCTCTTTTTAATAGCCAACAAACTAAACGTATCTTTTACATTTTTTTAGATGTTCAGGGAAAAAATCCAAAGGATAATATTGTGTGGCTGAGGACAACTATATGAATTTCAAGTTTCTGTGTGTATAAGTAAGGTTGTGTTAGAATACAGATTCATTTATTTGTATTTTTAGGACTATTGCCAAGGAAAAGCTAACTAACTGTAGCAGGGGCCATATGGAGCAAATAGTTCAGTATATGTGTGTCCCTGGAAAGCCAAGCTCCGGCTCTTACAACCTACAGAAGGACCAGTCTTCTACAGATCAGCGAGACTGGGAACAAGACGCAGAGTCAGCAAGAAAAACACACAGACTTCTTTTCTGAGGGATAAAAGTTTCTACTTCTTTATTTTTTGAAAACCCTTTTTATATTCCCCACACTAAGTCAATTACAAAGAGAAGGATGTTTCTTATAAACAAAAGTTACACAGTTACTATATAATCGCCTAAAAAATGTATTTTTTCTGGAACAGGTCAACTCCATTGTATTTCTTAACCACATCTTTATGCATTTCCTGAGAAACCCACACTCAGTCAAACACTTATCTTTTAGACTTCTCACAGACAGGAGCCCTTCAGCCACAACCATTTACATAGGCAGTAGCTCTTACAATTGCCAAAAAATAGGTCACTTGTTTAACTTTCATATTTTAGAGGCCTATATAATTATCTTAACTAACCATCCAATTCTTTGTTTTTTAGTTACATGAAGTCATTATTTAAAGCTTTCTTTTTAGCTATGTTGTACACTGAAACCCATGAACACATTGCCCAACATCAAGATTTATAAAACAAAATAAAACAAACAAACAAAAAAAATTGAGCTAGCTTAACTCTTGGGACTCCATTGTTTTTCTTAATCTTTAACCTAAACCACAGTCTATATGACTCATCAAGTGAAATTTATAAATCTTAGTTGTGTGACACTTCCTATTTTCTATTCCCTGCAGCCCCTGCTTTATCAGGGGCAGGAGCAACACTATATCCTACTTTTACCTATATTAATTTTCCCACTAAACTATCTATATAATCTCTAAAGCTATATAATCCATTGCTGTATTTGTTAGAAACCTTTAATCACCCAAATTCTATTTAAACCAACACTGTATTGTATACAAAGATTAATTAGGTTAATTACTTCATTACTTAAATAAAGCTTAAGAAGAAATCATCTTGGTAACAATATGCAGGTAAAAATGCCCAATCCAATGGGTATTTCTGTGAGATGATCACACTGCATTAAAGGCAGTGGGGACCCACACACACCCATTCACCAAAGAAAAATGGCAGGGGCAAACATGTAAAGACACAGCAGTAGCAAGAAACATTATGGATCCAGAGCCCTTGATGCCATGCCTCACCCATCAGTTCCTTGCATTGTGGTGAGCCGAATGCCTGAAAATCGAGTGCCACCTGATGCTCTTTCTGACACGGCCACCAGTGACAAGCTTTCTGTCTCCTCTTTTAGAATGTTCCCTGAATTTTAGATGCAAGAGTTCTGTTGTAGATATGTCCACTAGAGCTGGGATACACAACGCTATATCTTGCTGGTTGTGATTTTCTGCGATGTCTCTATCTATTGCAAGGAGAAATTTTCTTCATGGGAGATAAGGACTACACTTATATATGTATATAAGGACAAATACCTAGAGTGCAGTTAGGGATTATGCTGGTTTAGTAAAGTGGTGGTAATAGGTTCTCCTTTAAAATCAGTTCACTAGTCCGGGGGAGCTGGCTAGGTTTCAGGAGTGATTTCTTTCTTGTTGAGTGGGTCTTAAGTCCAACTAAAGAATTGTTGGTTACCACTAAGGTATTCATGACACTAATTCACCCTTAAGGTTATTTTGCCATGGTGGTCATTTTTTTATGGTTCTTAGGCATCACAGCTGGGTATTACTGATGGTTGCTTCCCTCTTTTGGAAGCTTGTATGGCACCTTCTGTGATCATGAAAGATAATCAATACTTGGGTAGAAGATTGTCAGGTCAGTTAAAGCTCAAGCCTCTGAATCTCATGTCTGAAGTACATGGTATCTTCAGCAATATAAACTTATCATCACCTCTGGGGGACAATAGCAATAGAATAGCCTGTAATGTTTGGGGAGTCTCTTAGACAACCCTGACCAACTACTCATAAGAGGGTTTCTCATGCCTGGTGTTGGGATTTTATTAGATTTTTGTATTTGTATTGTTTTGCTATACATCTGACAGAGTATTTTTGTAGTATTTATCCTTTTTGAACTAACAGGATAAGATGATGAGGCTGTAAACTGCTCTCCTCAGGCAACTCAATCTGGTTCAAGAAGCAGTATTAAAATTCTTCAACAAAATGCCTTTTAGATGAGTTGACTTCAATGCACACTTTTCTTCTCATTTTTTCGGCTTTGTGGCCTTAATAACCTAGGTGGAGAAAAAGATGTAGACTGAGATGTCATTGATAAATTAAGTCTTCTCTACTTCCAGTTCCTGTGTTCTGGAATGTACCTCCCTTCTTATTGTATCTACTCACCCTCCCCCGTAGCCCCTTAATTCCTTCACTCTTAGATGACTCTCCTGAAGTATATATGCTCCAAACACACATCCCTACATAATAAGAGCATAGATAAAGTTTTCTCAGGTCTCTATATAAAACCTACAGAGAGAGACAACAGTCCATACAAACACTGTTGAGTGGAGGGGGAGACAGCAAAGCTGTGTCTATAGGATAACAACAAGGGTGTGATAGCTTACTTAACTGCCCTGGACTATGATATATGCACGAATGGTTGGACTGCCTCAGAAATTTGTTTTCCAGGAGTTTACAGTCTGACTTGACTTCTAACAGCATCTGTCACAATATTTGTGCAACTTCGCACAAGTTGCCTTCATTAGACTTAGACTGTGTTCAAGAAAACTCACTGTGGAGTTGAAAGGATGGGAGGGGGAGAAAATTGTATGTGAAACCTTTGAGTTTGTAATTGTGTGCCTAGGATGTGAATGTTCTAAAGCCAGGCTCCTTGGTTCTGTGAGATCTGTGAGATGCAGATGTGCTCACTACATACTGGGGCTCTTCTCTATCATATCCTGTTCAACAGCCTCTTTTCAGATTTCTGACAGAAAACATAAAATAATGTCCTCTTCTAGGAACTGACATCCTTCCAAACCTTAAAGAAGCTGTGGGGTCCCGATTTCAGCTGTATTTTCTCTCCACTTTTTGACACCTCAAAGAAGATGAGTCTAAGTTTATCTCCTTCTTCGCATTTTACTTGGTTCTGGTTTCCAAGCACCAGCACGTCCATCTCCTCCTCTGTGTTGTCATGTATTCTATATAGGACTCTATCCGTTCTTTGCTCTATTATCTGTGAAAGGAAGACAACAACCAAGCTCTGCTGAGATGACTAAGGAAGGGCAGCATGTACATCAATTGTCAGAGGAGACAGGAGCAGCTTTCCAAAGGAAACATGAGGAGCAATTCCAGCTTCCAAACTAGAAGGATTCTACCTAACGGATATTAGCAAGTCCCATTGAAGGGGGTGGGAGAGTCTTACTAAAAGCATGTTGCTTCTTGTGTACATCTTTCTAGTCCCAGGCTTTTTTTCCCTTCTGGGAATCCAGGATGGCTCACAGAAACAACTAGTAGACAGGGAAGATAGGTCTTCTCCAGGGCCAGTATACAGGAGGCAGTCAGGGGAAAAGGTGGCTACCTTGTGGCTAGGAGAAAGGTCACTTAATGAAACAAGTCCAGAGAAAAACTAACTAACAGTAAAAGACCTAGTGAAGAAATTTAAAAGTTAAAAGTCAAGGACAAGAAATCATTCACAATCAAGTCCAAATGATAAGGGACCAGATGCTGGTGACATACATAAAATATGAACAGCATTTGACAGTCAGTTTTATTGACCACATGATTAGACATTATGGGTAGTTGACCAAACAGAACATTCAAAATTGAGAGGTTAAAAAGAGGTATTTTTATGCTTGAAATTTCCAAGGAAGATAATTTTCTCCTGTTACCATTTCTGATGGGACTAGATAGGTCATTTGACTACTGAGTGCAGAAATCAACAAGTTCCCTGTACTAGAATCTATACTAGGCCAGAAAATTTTTCACACAAGCATAGTTTTTCCTGATTCCTGTGTGGTAGTTTGTATGAAAAAGGCCCCCACAGGTTCATAGGGAGTGGCATTATTAGAAAGAATTAGGATATGTGGCCTTGTTGATCTTGCTGTAGGAAATGTGTCCCTGGAGTTGGACTTGGAAGTTTTAGAAGCTCAAGCCGCGTCCAGTGGCTCACTCTCTCTTTCTGCTGCCTGTGGGTCCAGATGTAGAACTCTCAGCTACTTACTTCTTCTGCACCGTGTCTGCCTGAATGTCACCAAGCTCTCTGGCATAGTGATAACGGAGTAAACCTCTGAACCTGTAAGCCAGCCCCAATTAAATGTTCTCCTTTATAAGAGTTGCTGGGGGGTAGCCGGGCGTTGGTGGCGCACACCTTTAATCCTAGCACTCGGGAGGCAAAGGCAGGCGGATCTCTGTGAGTTTGAGGCCAGCCTGGTCTCCAGAGTGAGTGCCAGGATAGGCTTCAAAGCTACACAGAGAAACCCAGTCCTGGAAAACCCAGAAAAAAAAAAAAAAAAAAAAAAAAAAAAAAAAAAAAAAAAAGGAGTTGCTGGGGTCATGGTGTCTTTTCACAGCAACGGAAACCCTGACAAAGACAACTGGCATCTAGCTAGGATTTCATGCTAACTCTTCCATTATCTTCATTCAATACTAGGTCTTCTAACCCCTGCTCATCAATCCTCTAGTTCATCAATGGGCACACATCTGCTCCAAACAAAAGAGACTTTGAGCACTCAGGAGGCAGAGGCAGGCAGATCTCTGTGAGGTTGAGGCCAGCCTGGTCTTCAAAGAGAGTTCCAGGACAGTTCCAAAACCTATAGAGAAGCCCTGTCTTGAAAACAAACAAACAAACAAAAAGTGACTTAGAATGTGGATGGTAATAAGTGTGTAACAGCAACACAGAGGTGGAAATAGCTGTGTCTGTGTTTCAGAGGTTACAAGGGTAAAAACATAAATAAAAGTGGCTTCAAAATAAACCTTCACTGGCTGTTGTGGCATGCATGTGGATCCCAACACTCAGGAGGCAGAGGCAGGGGAATTTTGGTAAGTACCAGACCAGCTAAAGCTACACAGTATAAGACTCTGTCTCAAAAGACAAAACAAAAAAAAATACATATTAAATAAAGCTTTTGTGAGCTTTGCCCACAAGTTTTGGCAAATTCTCATCCTGCAAATCTTAATTTTATTAAATTGTTTTTTCTGATTGTTAAAATTGTTTAAACCCAATTATTTAATTGATTTTAATTGCTTCATATTTTATATAGGAAGAAAAACATTGAAACATAATTTCTAGAATTCCATTAAAGCTTAGAATAACTATTGTATTCTTTTTCCCAGTCAATACAGAATTGCATACATGGACTTACCTTCTGGACTTTAAAAATCCCATTCACAATTGTTCCAGGAGGCTGAGTCTTCAGCTTCTTAATCATGGGAGTTCTCCCAGCTTTATCTTTGATGTTATTTGGAACACAGACTTGGTGGTCAGCATCAGCCTCAACCACAGTTGAGGAGCTGGTCACCTCTAAGAAGTTATTGTACCAAAGATAGTTTGATATTTTAATTGTTCTCTGTGGGGTAAACTTATCTTTAAACTGTGCATCTAAAACTTTTACAAAGAAAAAATTCGTCTCTGTGGCCACCGTTGCATGGAATATCATTTGCTTCCCTTCCCGAGTTTCACACTCGAAAGGAATCGTAGCTTTCAGCACCAACAAAGCCAGGGGATCCTTCTGTAAACCTTCTCTGATGGCTTCCTGTTCTGCCATGACCCGGGTCTTCTGAGGCTGTGACAACAGAGAAGAGGTGTTAGCTATGGGTCAACGCTGTAACCAAGGCAGTCTTCATTCAAGATAAACCCCAACAAGCCAGAAAAGGTTGAACTGAAGGGAAGATGGAGGAGACAGGAAAAGATCAGACTCGGAATTATCTAGCTTTTTCAAAAGGGATACCTAACGTTTTTATATTCAAGTGGGGCAGTGGAGCTGACTCTGGAGACAGAGTTTCTGAATGAGAAGCCTTCTTTGCCATGTAGTTTATGAAGAGTGTGTCAGAAACCTGAATCATTGCTAAGGGCTTAACCTAATCCTGTCTTCTTGTGAGTCTATTAGAGCGTATTTCTCCCTCTAACACCGTTCTGAGCATTTATGTGGCTCTTGTATGAGCGTGAGAAAGTTCAGTGATGTGCACAGAGCTCCCCACATCCACAGGAATGTCTCTGTACATAATAAAAGTACAGATCATTAAATATGAGTAAAGGAAGAGATCTTGGGATGAGGTCCTATAGACAAATTAAAGGGAGAATGAAAACGAGAATCAACTCTACCATTGTGAGTTTACTCTTAGAAGCAGTGAATTATATATTACGGCTTACATAAAAAATACATCTTTTTGTTTGTAGATATAAATCATTAAAATGACTTAAATACCAAAAAAGGATCTTGTCAAATAAAATCTTGTAACACAACATATGAAATATTAAGTATGTTTCAAAGGGATAATATAACAAATTATTTTGATTTAACAAAGGATAAAGTACAGTGAATTCTGTATTGAATAAATGCACAAATAACCCACATAAACACACTACAGGGATATTGTCAATGATAAATGGGCTTTCTTCTCCACAATCAGTTATGGTGATTTGATTCTCATCTTGGTTTTTGTTATTGTTATTGTTGTTGTTGTTGTTGTTCCAAAATAAGAAATTAAGAAGGATAGGGAAAAGTGTGTATGTGCAGATCTGTGTGTCCTCATGTATGTGTATGCTTTAAAAAAACAATACTATTTTCTTACAATTAATTAATGACCCATAAGCAAAGAGAGACACTTAGAAAAAGAGGCCCAGAAGAGTAGGTTCTGAATTGGATCTCTGGGAGACCTTGAGATGTGAGCTCATAAGTACACCTCATGAACAGCATCCACACTCAATTTGGTCCAAAGCAGGAAAATGCCAACTTCACCAGGGACTTTTACAGAATATTTTGTCTGCAGGCCCAGGTATTTTATCTGGATCATCCAGATTATACAATATGTATTTTCATGTCTGTTGGCTAAAATACAACATTTTCACCTGGGTATTGTTCTCTTGACGATTCTAGAAATTTCTGAGCCACGAACAGAGGAAATGGGTGGGTGCTCTAGACAGAAAGGTGAACACACTCTAAACATTCCTCTGTAGGACATGACACTTCCTTCATGGGAAATGAAATTGCATGTGCTTGGTGGATTTTGTGGTGGAGCCCTGCATGCTACTGTCAGGATTAAGGGACAAGGACTCTCTTCAAGTTTTATTGCCTCTGCTACAAAGAGATACAGGCATATAGTGAGTAAAGGGGTTGTCGTTTCCATCCACATTGGGACAACCCTAAAGGGCATTCTGAACCCCTAAGTCTCTCGTAGGACAGGCTGATCTCTTTGCTGCAATTCCACCGAATTTGAAATTGTCCCCATTCCCTCAATGCTGAAAGCACCCTAAAATATACTCACTGAAAATAGTCCATGTCAGAGTTTTCTTCCACTAGAGGCTAAGATCACAATTTGTTAATATGTCCAGAGCATGGCAGAAATTAGAAGCTTCCAGGTATATAAACTGATGAATCTGTGTGACTTTTCTTTTTGTAATGCCGACATGTCTTCCCTATCCTCACCTTGTTTTCCTGCTTTGTAGGCGCTGAGACAAAGGGCAGAGGCTTCAAGTGCTGGATGACAGGGATGATCATGGAAGGGGACCCTCATGAGGACCAAGGAGCTGACCTAGCCTACCTTAGCCTGAGGACAGACTTCTGTAGCAGAGTGTTTCTTGGAGGCTGCGTCTCTGCTGGTGGCAGAGGCACCAGGACAGTTTTCATCTTGACTTCTTTTTTCTACTTTCTGTGTTCCTTTCTTCTTTGTAGTTTTGGATCGTTGATCAACTGCAGAAGAAGAAGAAGAAAGAAGAGGGGAAGGAGGAAGAGAAGAAAGAGGGGGACAAGGAGGAGGAGGGGAGAAGAAGAAGACCAGAAAGAGGTGCGTTAACCAGAAATGTATGGGCAAGCATGGCTGAGATATTAGAATATCATTTTCTCTCAAGAAGAAAATTAGAAGGGAGACAGCAGCAGGGTGATGGATTAGGAGTTTCCCCTCTTCAGTGCCTCACAAGAATAAAGCTCATGACTATCCACAGACAAGGCACATTGCAATGGAGGTATCTTCTAGAACGATGCAACCAATGATGTCTGGAGTCTAAAAGGACTGTTTTCATTTTTCACAATGTTATCTCCCTCCCAAGATGACACAGTACCATGCAGAGAGAATTCCATGACCCCACACGTCCTATGCTGAAGTCAGAGGGCCAGGGGTGTGCGTGTGGCTTTCTCAGCATTATGGGATTTCATTGTAGGAGGCTCATTTTCACCTCATCCCATGAGGGATGCAGGGGACATTGGCAAGACTGGAATAACAGTGGTCAATCAGGAGTAAACAAAATGCAGTGGGTGTCACTGTGACCATTATATGCTCTACCCTATGGTTTTGACCAATCAAAGAGACTATCCTACAGTACTTTTAAAAGGCATGCACAACCAGTCTGTTGGCTTTGAATCATAGCCAACTTTCCACTCAGCCTCAGCACTCTGTTTAAGCCTTCCCCAGACTTGCTGGGCGAGGGTGTAACATATGCACAGGTGTGGAATGTATCATCTAAATCTGCCCAACCTCCACAGTGGAGTGATGACCCCGCCCCCAGCCTCAGAGCAATGCATGAGGCTTCCGGAAGATTATAGGCAATCTCATGCACACAAATAACCTTGCAAGGAAACATCTGATCCTGCTGGCCACAGCCTATTGCGCAATTCATCCCACCCAGCCCATGGTTTCAAAAAAGGCCTCTTATAAAGGCAACTTTGTGCCCCAATACTTCCTCAGAGTAGAGCGTCTGGTCTCCCCAACCCTAGTGACTGAGAAGTGGTGGGACTGGGAGGAATTTTGAGCCTTGCCTGAGGTTCAGTATGGGCCCAAACTGGAAAGAAAGCCTGAGATGATACATAGGTGTCTAGCATATTCTCTGGCCCTGCCTAGTCTAAGTGGCCTAACAGCACCCACAGCCTTTCCCAGCCTCAGAACCCAATCTACCACCATGCACAAATAGAGATTCTGAGTATCCATTTAAGATCGATATCCTGTAAAGTTACTTAATTGGAGGTGATCACAGATGCTAGCCAGCAGCTGTACCTGACTGTAAAGTCCAGTTAGTGATCTTACTGGACCATGCAATGTAGTTAGTATGCTTATTTGACCCCAGGACACAGGCAGTAGCCTGGTCCAATCAGAGAACCTGAGAAAGAGTCTCCCTGTAGCTGATACCAGTTGACATATGCAAAAGCCCAGCTGGGTTAAACAATACAGAGGATGAAGAGGAGGGGAAGGATATGAAGAAGTAGAAAAACAAAGACAAAAAAAAATTGTTACTGCTTTCTCTTCCTCAAATGTGCAGACACTAACCACGAAAAGAATAGACCCAAAGTATGGGCCATCTAGAACATCAGTTAATTTGAACAAGAGCAAAAAACATGTAATCAAGGTGACCATGTGGTAATGTATTTAAAGCAGTGGAGAAGAAAACAAATAATTGCTCAGTAAGAATATTTTGCCGCCCTTTCCACTGACTGACCCAGGAACGAGGTGAGTGAGCCTCTGCCCTTACCCAACCTCAGCCCAAACCATCACTCACCCGACCACCCACTCCCCCCTCCCCCGCCCCAATGGACTGCCTGCTTGGGGGAGAGACACGCCCAGGAAGGGAGGAGCTCCCTGCTCCCTGAATCTGGTAGCACCCCACTCTTCCATTCCTTTCTGCCGACTGACCCCAGGAACGAGGTGAGTGAGCCTCTGCCCTTACCCAACCTCAGCCCAAAACATCATTTACCCCGACCTCCCAGGGCCTGTGCCTACCTGCTTGGGGTACACACGCACAGACAAGAAGGAGCTCCCTGAATCTGGAAACAACCCACTCTTCCATCTCTTTCCGCCAACCGATCTACAACGAGTGAGGCGACTACCAGGAGAGGCAAGACCAGCCAGAGTTGTAACATTGAATTCCTGGCCCCCACAGACCACTGGGTCACAAGAGGAGATAGAGAGACCCCACCTGCACCCACTA